CGACTCAGAATCTGTATAAGTGCATTCGACAATATTAGCTAGTGCGGCCTCTGATATTCTAGAAAGAACTGTTGCAACGCGAAACGGTAGTGACCTTTAATAAACTGTAAACTCTATGTGCGTTTTGTGTGTTAACCTTATAACCAGCGATAGTTAGTGGCTTCTGTAAGTTAGTAAATCGTACGATAGAGTTAATTGACTGTCATCGTGAAGAAAGAGAAAAGTGACTGTGGACGCCTCGGAGGGCCCCCTCAAGTTGGAGCGGTGTCGACGCTCGGGCTGCTACCGACGGCCAAGGTCTAGGTTCAATCACCATCAGTCACACCCAGATACACATCACATCACTTATTTCCCTTTCACTACACAACCACATGTGACCTGACCGACTCCGGAGGGACCAGTCGCCTTGGATATAGGTAAGTAAGCTTCGCCTAATTCCTCTGCCGGTTGACTGGCCGTAGTATAGAACGCTCCCCCATATATTTTAGTGTAATTCGAGAGATTCCACGTGGCCACATTGAGGCCCGACCTACGTCTATTCGGGAAGTCTTCAGCTCATGGGCCCCTGAGGATTGGATCCTTTAAGGGAGCAGCCGTAGGCCGTAACAAATTGGTAGCAGAGCGTGGTTCCGGGTTCGATTCCTCGGTCGATCCCGACCATAGTGTTTGATAAATATTAAACAAATCTGGTGGCAGGGAGCGTTGGTTTGATTGGTTTAATTTGTATCTACAATCACGCCCGTCCGTAATACGTAAAAATATTTTTTTGTACGTAATAATAGAATTATTTTCCTTTGTTGTTTGTTGCTTGCCTTTTTTTTGGTTAGTAGGTAGTTTGAAAAGCCGCGCCCTATGTTGCGCAAGCGGGAGTTTTTCTAGAGATATACGTCATGTAGGTAGATGGTTATTTTTACGTAATCGGTTAATTATCGTTGTCGGATAGTTGTAGTGGATTACTTATCGAAGGGTCGATTTCCGAGCTAGGCATTTTTTGTTGATCGACTGTGGTGTGTATCTTCGTTTATACTGTAATTTGTATTTGAACTAAAGCGCACTAGTATTTGTTATTTGTTAATTTGATTTGTGTCTTTTCTTTTGTGCTAACTTGTATTTGGTTGATACGTAGTAATTCGTATTTGTGTAATTTCTATTCAACGCAATTTGATAGGAACTGCATTTATTAACTGTTAATTTTTGTTGTATTTTTTGTTTGTTATCTTTGTAATCTGTGCTCAAGCCGCGTCGTAATTTGCATTTAATAGTGATGACATCGCCCAAGCTACTGATCCGTTGTTTGCGGACTGAGCTACGCTGGGCCACAAGCGCCCATGCTTTGATAGGTCGACCGGATAGGGTCCATAACGTGATGAAGCGGTTCGAGCAGGTGGATGCTCGAAGGGCCGCAGTGGAGGAGGCTTACGCTGAGCTCGAGGATTCGGATGTGGAGAAGGGAGCCCTGGACTCCTGATTCGCGGACTATAGGTATGCCGAGGAGGCGCGTGAAGCTCGGATGAGTGACCTGTCCGAGTCCTCTCTGAAGCAGCTTCAGCCGGAGCTGTTGGGACGACTCCCAACTCTGGACCTGCCAAAGTTCTCCGGGGTCCTTTCCGAATGGCTGACCTTCGTTGGTCTTTTCGACAGCCTAGTGGACGCCCGGAGTGACTTGACCCCGAGCCAAAAGATGGTGTACCTCCTGGCCTCACTGGAGGGGGAGGCCCTGGGCGTCGTCGGCCACTTGAGATTGTCGGACGACGCCTACCAGACTGCTCGGGACCTCCTAGCTAGAAGATACGCCAACGTCCGGCGAATTGCGGACGAACATGTTAAGCACCTTCTAAGCCTCCCGCTGCTTAGTGACCGGGCCAGACTGCATCCGGACCTGTTGGATCCAGTCTTGGTGGCCTGTAATACGTTGAAGCGGCTGGGTTTACCAGTGGGCGAATGGGCTTTTTTGTTGCTCCGCATCGTGCTGTCCCGTCTACCTCTCGACCTTGGAATCCATTTTGAGGAGAGGTACGGCGGGGACAAGGCCTCCTATATTCCGCCCTTCTATGACCTGCTGCGGTTTTGGGAGTAGCAGTGCCGGCAGATAGAGAGCGCGGCGGGCACCGTTGACGACTTACGAGCCGTGCCCAGTGAGAGGCTGAATCCTCCAGGCAAGTCGTTGTCAACCCCCCCCCCCCCCCCCCCCCTGTTCCTATTGTCGAGCATCTGATCATCGGGTAACGTCGTGCCCGAAATTATTAGGTAAGCCGGTTCCAGCGAGGCGAACTATCGCCAAGGAGCGCCGCTGCTGCTGCTCATGTTTGGGAGGACACCTCCAGCGAGACTCTCCGCATCGGCGGCCCTGTCTGCATTGCCAGGGCAATCATCATGCCGTTTTGTGCCTGAGTGCGAACGGCGTCTCCTCTCGGGGCTCTGCCAGGCCCTCGACCCCCACGGGCGGGGGCGCTCAGCCACGCCCTCTGCCGGGCGACTCTCGGCGCCCGCCGGCCAGCCATCAGGCCCCTAAGTTTGAAAGGGGTCCCTCCCCCGACCAGTCGGGGGGTAATTCCCCCAGGGGCGGGGGTGTCATCACCCCCCCTAAGCGTGTGGAGAGGAACTTCACGGCCACTCATCGGTCCGCTGGACCCTTCTCACTCCCGTTAGCTGAGTGGCCGCGACTGGTGTACCACTGTTCCCCATTTGATTGAGGCGGCCCTGGCTAGCTGCCGCCTTAGCTCCCACCACGGCCACCTCCACTGAGCCTTAAGCCGTCAACAGTCCACTTGTCAAAATGTTCTGTTGCCGCCGGCCTCAGTGAAGGCGTACAACCCGAGTGGCGACTGTTAGCCATCTCGGGTTCACGCCATGTGGCCTCCCCTTGGTGGTGGGAAGATTAGGGCCCCTCTGGAGCGTTGAATCACGCTGTCAAGGGGTATTAGATTTGGTTTGGTCGAGCACTTAGTCAAAAAATACTTGAATTAAAATTAAAAATTGCTTTGAGCTTTCCGCGAAATTTTCGTATTTGTAGCGGTTTAAATTAAAAGAATTGAATTTAAACTACTCCTTTAAATGCTACTGCATGTGTTTTGTACATATATTTAATCACTGTATTTGATTGTTGCGTCTGTTTGCTGAAAGGAAATTGAATGGCGCGCTATTTGAAAAATTATGTAACATATACATAGATAGTGTTTAATCATTTTGCTTTGCGAAGAAGTAGGGCTGTCCCTTACGTTATTGTTTTGTTTAATTTGCAAGTAGACCTATGCGCATCGGTGATTAATTTGGTTGAATTAATTCTGTAGTTGAACATTGATGCTTTTGAAAAATTAGTTGAAATATGAGCATAGGACTACTTGCCTAACAGGCTAGCTAGTTTTGGAGATTATCAGATTGAAATCAGCTGCCGCACTATTTTAGTAAATGATAATATGGTGGGTGGCCTGGCTAGGCCTACTTGTTGAAAATTCATACTAGGGAGTATCTGTGCGTTTCGTTCGGCTCTCCACAGACGACGTTCATGTGGAATTTGTGGGTGCTCTCTGCACTGAAGCTTAGGAGGCCGCTCGGGGCCGCTTCGTGTCGCGTCGCTGTTAGCAGAGCTGATCCGGTCGGATTGCGGAACTAATCATAGGGGCACAGATAGGTGTTTGAAAGAGATCGTCGGACTTCTGTCCAGTACAGGACTTGTTAAAGTGCTGCGACGCCCAGGAGGGGCATCCAGTGGAGGCTGACCCTCCGGCTTGCCACATTAGGGCTATTTTTTGAGGCGCTGGTTAGGGTTGCAAGATTTGACGGGGTGCCTAAGGTGGCCTAGTTTGGTTGTAGATTCGGTCTTGCAACTTGCCTTCGCGACCTTGTCCCGCTGACCGGTTTGCTCGCGGACCTAAATCCTTATGTCCGGGACGGGGGTTTGTTCGCGCAAAACACTTTCAAGGATTGACGCGAGAGGGCGCTCGGCGCGGTGCATTCATACCGGTTTGACTTTCGGTCGTGGGAAAAACGCCCAAGGGCAATCAATCTTCTTTAATCGGTGCTGACTTGAGCACGCGGTCCATTCTGTTAGGGAACTCGGAATAATTAGGTGCGGCCCGTAAATATACGGTCTAGGATTTGTGACGCGCATTCCTGCTGGAGAACTTCCCGGGACCGACTCAGAATCTGTATAAGTGCATTCGACAATATTAGCTAGTGCGGCCTCTGATATTCTAGAAAGAACTGTTGCAACGCGGAACGGTAGTGACCTTTAATAAACTGTAAACTCCGTGTGCGTTTTGTGTGTTAACCTTATAACCAGCGATAGTTAGTGGCTTCTGTAAGTTAGTAAATCGTACGATAGAGTTAATTGACTGTCATCGTGAAGAAAGAGGAAAGTGACTGTGGACGCCTCGGAGGGCCCCCTCAAGTTGGAGCGGTGTCGACGCTCGGGCTGCTACCGACGGCCAAGGTCTAGGTTCAATCACCATCAGTCACACCCAGATACACATCACATCACTTATTTCCCTTTCACTACACAACCACATGTGACCTGACCGACTCCGGAGGGACCAGTCGCCTTGGATATAGGTAAGTAAGCTTCGCCTAATTCCTCTGCCGGTTGACTGGCCGTAGTATAGAACGCTCCCCCATATATTTTAGTGTAATTCGAGAGATTCCACGTGGCCACATTGAGGCCCGACCTATGTCTATTCCGGAAGTCTTCAGCTCATGGGCCCCTGAGGATTGGATCCTTTAAGGGAGCAGCCGTAGGCCGTAACAATAGGTGCTGTGTAATAGTGGGTGTATATATATTTTAGTGGACACTTAAGAAGCTGTGCTGCACGATTTAATAATACAAATTCATATCATCGAAATATTTGTCAACCAAGAGCTTATACAGAGCAAAGGAGAAAAAGGCGACTCCATCTTTAAGTGGTAATATTAGATAAACTGTCTTAGGAATTGATTAATGTAGGTAGCGAGACAGTTTTTTGTGGCTGTAAAGAAGATAATGTATGAAATTAACAAACACTCACTCCTTATAAACTTTATCCTGAATATCGGGATGGCGTGAAAGCATGCACAATACAAACGAAGCTCCAACTGCTGAAGTGTCAGTGCCCGCTACTGCGAGAACCAACACTTCTTCCCTCAACTCCAAGTCTGTGAGTCCACTCGTTTCATTAGATGAGTCCATGAGTATCTCTAGAAACGTTTTTGGGTATTCTTTCGTTGCACCTAAAATATTTTTAATATCACCATATTATTATCACATTAATATTTAATACGTGTCATCCTTATATCCAAGAGCTTCAGCTGTCGGCCATGTGAAACACGACCACAACAACTCAAATTCCGCTGCATCAGGAGCGCCTCCATGTTACAGATGTTAGCTCAGCGTAGGACTTCCATATTTTGGCAAGGTCGAACCAACGTACACCCATGATATTACGGAGACACTGAATATGGAATCAATCAAGAATTCGTATGTACTTGCTATTCAAACACCAAGACCCAGAAAAATATAAAAGGTTTGGCACAACAACCGCCCTATAGACTACTGTCTTAATAGGTACCATGAGATCATCTGAACGGAAAACCTTGGATCTCAATTTTCCGAAAACAGCTGATGCAGCACCGATTCCTCCAACGATTTCAGCTTCAAAATTACATTTAGATGTTGCTACGTTTCTCAATTACTTGAACTTCTCTACAGGTTTCAGAACGCGAGGCCTTGGCCATCACTTCGGTCTTTGTCACGCTGCCTTTAAGTCACCAATCTTTGTAGAGAATTTGGGGAATCCGTCACAAAACACAAGTAATTTTCGTACATATGTAAGTTCCATTATTACGTTGCAAGTCATCTTAGACTTTGATACAGTATAATATTTATGCTAAAATGCTGGGTTTCGATGCGCAAATGAATACGTTTGCCTTCCTGCAGATTATGTAGAGCATTCTTGACAACGACAAAGAAAAAGAGAGCAAACATCGTTTTCAGCATGACACAACCATGTTTAACGCCGCATGTAACAGAGGAAACTCTATTTTTCACCATTTACGGAAACGCATAAGTCATTCCATCGTGTTGAAGCGTCAATACTCGTGCATACTTTTCCGGACAACGCAATTTAAACATAATCATCCATTACGCTTCACGAGATATGCTGTCAAACACTTTTTACAGATCAATTAATGAAAGGAAAATCGGCTGATTATGTTCGCGACTTTTTTCCTACAGCTGACGTACGCAAAAGATAGCTTCACATGTACCCCTTCCCAAACAAAAACTAAATTGGATTCCTAATAACAACGCTTCCGAAATATGAATGAATTGGTTAAAAAGCACCCTAGCATATACTTTTCCAGGTGTAGAAGCGAGGGACACACCACTATAGTAATTGCCGTCAGATCTTTCACCTTTAATTTTATATAAAGAGCAAATTCGCGATATCTTAAATACAGATGGAACTCGTTCTTCACACTACTTCCTGCCAAAAATTTCGATATCGTAGAGTATAGCTGCTCTCCTCTGTGCTTTAACAATTCACCAGGAATCTCACACATTTTATAAGTCAGGAGACGAGATGAATTAAACCTTTCTCTGAGGCAACTGTACTGCGAAATATCTGTCTAATAAGCAGTCTAACTTTTCAGCAATCATCGACAGGACAGTGGTGATGCTGCTGGAACTTGCGGAATATATAATATGTTGCTAATCAATCCGATGTCGGCTAATCAATCCTCGTTTAGAAGTTCTTTGAAGTGGTGAGCCCACCACTTTAATACGTCCTCTTTCGCTGTTAAACTTTGTTCCCACAAACTTCTATGCTTAGTCCCGACGAGTTTCTTTACTACCGCATGAAAAATACCAAGCTGTTTGGTATCAAGGAGCCATTGCAAATATTCCGTCTTACTTGACCACTAGCTGTCTTTTATGTTTCTGTCAATTCTCCTGAGAGCAGATCCACTCTTCCTCATTGCTTCTAAAAACTATTACTTTGACTGCTGACTGGCAGCCGCTACAATAGTGTGAGACATTTAGTACTGCGATCGTTACTCCGCCTGCCAAGCCAAAAGTTTTATCGCAATTAAGACAGATCTTCCTTAAATTGGATAATTCACATCATTCCATTACGAACTGATGAAGAAAATGAAGAACATTGTAATTTAAAGTGAATGTTCTCATTAAGCCTTTTTTAATAAAGCTATTCCCCTTGTTTCTTTCCCTTTGTCTATTCCAACAATATATATTTCTTTAAACGTTTTTGAAGAAAATTGTGATTGAAATTCTTATATTATTATATAAACTATAAAGTTCTAAATGCCTGACTTACCAACCATACTATTTCTTTGTGACATATCGTTCATCTTAGCATATTTTTGTTTAGATTTAATGATCTGAAACAGGTTTATTCAAGAATTAATCATTGCATAATATTGTAAAAGGCATTCATACGATAGGATATATATAAATAAATCAAGATCAAATGGGCCCCAAAGTCGGTGTTTTGACTACATGGAAAATCAAGCTTTAGATATGAAAAAGTAAGAAATGTTCTTTTTACACGACTTGATACGATTTAGTGAATTATTATCGGTGCCAAAACATGATCGAATCAGCTTGAATTAATACAAAAATATTTACAACACAAGCTACAAAGATCTTATTGCTTCCTTTACTCTCAGCGTGAAATATCGAGACTGGCCGTAGACTGTTTGCGCATCGTTTTATAAGATTTACAGAAGGTAAAAGAATTTAAAAATACTTAAAAGTCATCTTTAATGTTATTGCATGCCTTATAACGCAGAACGTTATTAGGTAGTGTTTTACTCTCGATACGTCAAGATCAAGCAATTTTGTGGTCTTAAAATACCTTTATCATAACAATATTGCAATGATATGATAGTATGATAGCCGCATATCAAGAAAAGACTCTAACTAATCCATATTATATTTTCTAAAAAATCATTTTATATAGCTATTTTGAAAAAATAACAGTTTGAAAAAATTTTAACGTGGATGTCCGGATGTTGATTGAAGTGTAGGGCGTCCCCCCCACTTGATGGAGTGGCGACCTGGTAAGATATGCAGGAAGTCTATGGATGCATGTGTCTCAGGACCGTGCTTTATGGAATTCCTATATCCAGCAGTGGACTTGTGAAGGGCTGCAACGATGACGATGATGAGGTGGTGCTATTTTTGAGATTCAGAAATCACCCGTGTGACTGAATCCGCGTAGCCAGTGCAGATAGCTAGTAGTAATATAAATAAGTGATACCGTAATGGAATTCTTATAATATAAGAATTTCCAAGGAGCCGTTATCGTCCACAAGTCCCTCGTTAACAACGTTGTAAAGATTGGGGGTGTATCGACAAGGGTTGCGTACGTTATACTCAGCACTAACCTCGGCACACCCCGATGAGGAGGTGGATTAAATATATGAGGTTATCTCTAGACCCATGCATTCCTCCAAAACCCACTATACGGTATTAATGGGAGACTTCAACGCAAAACTAGGCACAATAGAGAACGGTGAGCTGAAAGTAGGGAAATTCGGAATATGGCAACGGATCCCAAGGGGCCAGCGGCTGGTTGACTTCATGTAGAAAAAGGGAATTTCTTCCAGAAGCGGCCCCACAGGTAGTGGACCTGGTTGGGCCCCGACGGTTAGACAAAAAATTAGATTGACTTCATTATGACGACTAGACGGCAACTGATCAGTGATGTCTCCAGTGATCGCGAGGGTGTACACTGGTACCGATCACCGAATGGTTAGAGGCTCACTAAACCTAAAAAAAGTTCCGAAACCTTTCAGCTCGAGTTACAAAACCGATTTCAGTGCCTATAAGATTGCCATGCAGTGGACGATATGAATGACAATCTCGTGGAAACTGTCCATGCAATCGGAGCTAAGTTTTGAAAGATCTACCGCAGAAAAACACAAAAACTCTCCAATCACATTCCTAATCTCATGGCTGTTAGACGGGAAACGAAACTGCAGTCTTCAGTAGATTTGATAGCATACAGGCAACTGAACAGACAGATCTCCAAATGCATGTGGCGGGACTTACACGACTTTAATACTGCCCATATTTAAGAAGCAATAGAGCGGAACTAGGGCTCCAAAGACTTTGCTAGATATCGGTTTGTCAGAAAAAACCAACTGACGAAGCTGAAGACTGAGTGTGGCAGCGTCGATTTCAAGTGAGATTGAGAGCTTCTATGGGCAGATGTACATATCATCGTAGAAACCACACGAAAGTGTGAGTAACAATCCGAGAGCAAGTTTTACGGCAGAATCGCTGGAGGACCTAAGCACTATGCTCAATGACCTCAATATTGTCTACCAACGGACAAGTCTTAAGATGAACATGGACAAACGAAGTTCATGTATAACGTGTATGTCACACCTATGCCGGTAGTTGTTGGGAGCACTAAGCTCGAAGTTGAGTTTGAAGTTGAGTTGAGCTCGAGTATGTTTACCTGGGACAAATAGTCCGACTAGGTAAGTTCAACTTCGACTTCGAGGTCAATCGACGGATTCAACTCGGCTGAGCTTCGTTCGGGAAATTACGGCACATCTTCTCGTCAGGTATACCTCAAAACTTGAAAACTAGATTGTACAACCAGTGCGTGTTGCCAGTGATGACCTATAGAACTGAGACCTGGTCCTTCACTGCTGGTCGTATGAGAAAGTTCAACGTCGCTCAGTGAGCTATGGAGAGAGCTATTCTTGGGGTTTCTCTTCGTGATAAACTTAGAAATGAGGATATCCGCAGTAGAGCTAGAGTGACTGACATAGCCCAACGGATTAGTAAGCTGAAGTGGCAATGGGCCGGCCATATATCTCGAAGAACCAACAAGCGATGGGGAAAAAACGTTCTCGCGTGGCGGTCTCGTACCGGCGGACGAAGTGTAGGGCGTCCCCCACTAGATGGAGTGACCACCTGCTGAGACATGAGGCTAAAACAAGAAGTCGATGGATGCAGGTGGCTCAGGACCGTGTTTGTGGCATTTCTTATGTTCAGCAGTGGACTAATGATGGGCTGTGATGATGAATAGAATTCAAAAGTATTTATCAAGTAACTATATCCATGTAAAAATAAAAAACCACATTAAAAAAAGCTAGATAAAAGCAATATTAGATAGATCCTCAGCTTCAGGGCACTTCCCTTGTTGCCTCAGCCAGTATCGGAATCCTCGACATCGACATATCAAATGAGTTATCGAATGACTATGAACTTGGAAGAGAAGGCCAAATTGGCCTCTACAAAGCTTCGCGTGCTCAGCAGAACAGGTCAGTATTTCATGCCAGCACACCACCTACAACTTTACAAGGCGCAGGTTCAGCCTTACATGTGCCAGCTAAATCTATTACATCGCATCCAGTGCAGAGCGGTTCGAATCGTCTGTGATAGTGTTCTTTCTGATCGGCTTAATTCACTGGCGCTACGAAGAGATGTTGCATCTCTTCGCGCATCCTTCCGTATCTACCAAGGGATAGTGCTCAGAAGAATTATTCGGACTAATTTCAGCCGCTCAATTTCACCATAGCACTTCGCAACAAATCTCGAGATATCATCCACACCATCTGGATGATTGGCGGTCCACCAATGTGCGATTTATAAGAAATTTTCATCCTCCCACAACTTCCTTGTATAATCGACTACAACCAGCGATATTTCCGGACCAATACGACTTAAGGACTTTCAAGAAAAGAGCCTACACTATTTTTAAAGGCCGGCAACGCGTCTACAATTCTTCTCGTGTTGCAGTTGTTCATGGTTGGCGGTAGTCACTTATCATCAGTTGAGTCGCGTGCTTGTTTGCCCCATTTCATATTAAAAAAAAATTCTAGCTGCAATTATAAAGCTGTCAAGTTGCCGTCTGTATCGCGCAACGAAGTGCAATGTTTTACAATTTTTTTTATTAAAACTAAAGTGACACCAAGCTTACAGTCCACCTGATGGTAAGTGGCTTCTGCAGTCCATGAACACATGCAATCAAAAAAGAAAAAACCTTATTTAAACAAATAAACCTTCAGATGCGTTGTCACATATGAGGAGAAAGATGGAATGCCTCAAAGCCTGTAATCATACTGGCCCTCTAAGGAGGTCCAATTGCGCGTTATCATCCATACTATCTGGATGATTGTCGTTCCACCACTGTGCCATTTACAAGAAGTTTTCTCCCTCGCACAACTTCCTTGTGGTATCGTCTACTACCAGCGATCTTTCCGGACCAATGCGGCTTAGGCATCTTCAAGAAAAGAGCCTACTCTGTTTCAAAAAAGTCCGCAATGCGCCTGCTATTCCCTTTATGTTGCAGTTGTTCATGTTCGGCGGTCGACACTCTTGTATAAAAAAATATATTTATTCATTTTTCAATATTACCCGATCGACGATATCCCAAATAGTATGTTTTTGCTTATAGTACGTATTGTAAGTAGACGTTAGTTTGTAAATAGCCTCTATTTGCAGCAAGGGGTTACATATACGCATAATGGATAAGCAACATAGCTCTTCCAATGCATTCATAAACATTTTTTGATCTTCTTGCATGTCCACTCCTAATACAGTCTCTGTAAATATAAAGAAACAATCAATATCACACACATTTAAAATATTGCCTAAGAAATGATTTAAGTCAATAGTTATGATTTGGTAATAACTGGTTCCTTTTCTTCATCAGTTCATAAAAGTCAACAGCTGATCATGAGCCTCTTTTTATATAAGAGTTTTTTTTATAAACGAGCATTACGCTCACCTGATGATAAGTGGCTACCACACCACCACACAACACAGTCCACCTGATGGTAATTAGATGTTGTTATCCATAGATACCCACATCCATACACGAGTAAGAATCAAAATGTTACTGACAACTAAGATAGAATTACTCGTTACCAATAAAAAGGGGTCCCCAATGCTCAACACCAACCACTCAGAACACGACAGCTTAAAGCTGCTATTTCACTGACGAGCTAACCCGTTTGTGCAGCAACTATAATGCAGCTGTTTGCTTTGTTTGCTTAATAACATATAAATATTCTACAAATAAAAAGTGATTCCATTTGAGATACAACAGTGAGTGTACTACTTGCTTAACGTCGGAAGTAGATCAGAGATAGCCAGAAAATGACCACTTATTCAAATTACCTAACTTATTTAACTGCATTTATATATAAACTGATATGAAAGAAAAATACCAACCACATACTGACTCCATGGTAAAGGTAGTTATATATTTCGATATAGAAATTGTGCCACTGCCTACTACTGGTTTTAGTCTCTCTATAAGGCAATTACTCTGTTTGGCAAAAACTTGGACAAATTGTCTAAGATTTCTGGGAGAGAAACTCGGAGCAATGATTTTACGCCGGGGTCGCCAAAAACTTACTGAAACCAAAAAAAAAACATAACGTGTAGTGTTTTTGAATAAAATTTGTGTTTAAAAAAATAACAAATTTCAATTTTATGTGATAATAAAACTAAAAATATGTGGAATACTATTAGATCTACTCTCTAATTCAAATTTAATTGTAAGTTTGAATTCTTTGCGTAAAACTACAATACTAGTTTTATTGAAAACTCTATTGGTTATCCATTATAGAATCAAGCGTTGAATGAAATTGCTTCGGAGACGATATCATTAGTTCTTCTCGAGATATGTGGGAGGAAATAGTTAACTAACGTACGAAAGTACAAAACGGTAACACGTGGGATTAGACTGTCGGTTCGAACAGATATTATCTAAAGCAGTAGATTATCAGAGTTGTATTTTATTTATTTATTTTATTTTATTCATACGGCTTACTAACAGTCAACCTAAATAATGACAATATATATATATATATATATATACAGGGTATTTTTGGAACGCTCCCGAAAACTAAGACAGGCGACAACACCAAGTACACCTTTGATCATGGGTCACAAATAAATTCGATCCTGATGAAAAAAAAATCAACTTTTTACAACGTTTTATTAGCTTTATTCACGCGCCATCATGTTAGTACAGCTAAATGAAACGATAATTTCATAAAATATATCATGAAAATACTGAAACATAAAACCAGCAGTGGAATGACTGAATTTATATCACCTGACTGAAAGGTCAATGTACGCGCGAACGCAAATTCGCGCGGCCCGCAACTAGCGGGCCAAACCACAATATCTAATAATTTACAACACTTGTCTAAATACCTTACTTATCTACTTAACCTACTATTTTGCCACTGTGCTTGTCTCCACTTAGCCACTTTAATCCGAATTTACAGGTTAAATAACCCAAATAACTGGTTCGATTCCCCGCTAATGAAAAAATACTTAAATGAAATGTAACCAAAGTTGGAGTCATGAGTTTTTATTCATCGTGTATGTTTATTATTCTCATGTATTCAGTTATGTACCTATTCAGATTAGTCTAGTACTAAGTTATTTAAAAAAAAATAGGTATGAAACAGCTTACCGCTCTAAATCCTCCGTGGTCTTATGAGATGCGGCTCAAATTGTGCTCCATTCATTTCAAGGTAGATTTGGGTGCAGGCGGGGCATCATCGTGTGGTCTTCGACACAGTCCGTACGTAGTTTCTCGAAACCATCCACGATCCTTTGGCGCATTTCTTCAGCACTATCACATTCACGATTAAAAACCCTTTCTTTCACATACCCCACAAAAAGAAGTCTAACGGAGTCAGATCTGGTGAGCGAGGTGGCCAAGCGTGTGGTCCTAGTCTGCCGATCCAGCGATCATCAAATAACTCATTGAGGCGCTCACGGACGAACCTCATGAAATGTGGAGGGGCACCATCATGTTGGAACCATGTGCGGCGATATTCAGCCAACGATAGGTCGTTTAAAATGTCAACCAACTGTTCATTTATAAAGTTTAGGTATCGCTGTCCGTTCAGTCGCTCTGTCAGAAACACTGGTCCCAGTATGCGATCCTTAAATAAACCTGCCCATACGTTAACCGACCATCGGGTTTGGTGCCCGGTTTGTCGAACAGCGTGCGGGTTAACCTCTGAATACACGTGTGTATTTCTTCGGTTCCACAGGCCGTTTCTGGTAAATGTCGACTCATCCGTCCAGATAATGTGCTCAATGGAACCAGGCACACGTTGTTGCTGGTATAATAACCAACGGCAGAAAACTCGTCGGCGGTCGTGATCGCCGGGAACTAAAGCTTGCACTTTGTGCAATTTGTATGGGCGCATTGGTTACGCTTCAACACTTTGTGCACTGTACAGTATGACACACTTGTACGATCCCGACGTCTTAACAATTTATTTAGCGATACTTCGTGTACCTAGGTTCGGATACCTAACATGTTGACCACTATAAACGTACGCGTTAGGCATTATTAAAACAAAAAAGAATCCAAAAACGTAACAAAAACTTTAATATCAACACGTAATCACAAGTAAATTTATTAAACAAAACGATTGAACTGTCGCTCGCGCACGCGTGTACAAAATCAACACGGAACTGTTTCAAAAACTACAATTAATAACGAACCCCGACGAATAAACGGAAACCTACTGCGTCACAGCGTGACGACACGAGCCGGCCGGGTTACATTCTGCGAGGCGACATGAGCCGGCCGGGTTACATTCTGCCGTCATACGAAATAAAGAAGTACGCAACTAACAAAAACGTAAAATGGAAATAAAAAATAAATTTATGAATTTTTCTTTCAGACCCCGTGTCTAAAGTATATTAAAAGGTATCTATATGAAAATTGAAATATGTACGTAGAGACATGAAGATTTTAAGGACGAACTTATTTTTTGATAATTTGTTTATTTATTTAAATAAAACGAATTTTCCTTTTCATCTTAGATTAAAAAATACACCTGGCAACACAAAAACATCGAAGGAAAGACGCATATAACTATTTGCGTATTCCCAACCTAATAAATAAAAAAAAACTGCCATTCATTTAACATTTTTACATATTTTGGAAAGGTCATTTGAAGTTGAAAGGACGCTAATAGTAATTTACTACTTTTTTCTTAGTAAATATTAGAAAAGCATTGGTAGTCAGACACAAAAAATAACAACCCGCAACTCTTGAGTAATGATTTTAAAGGGGATATCATACAAGACTTACTACGATAATAATTAAAAATTTTGTACAACCGACTTTAATATAAATAATTAAGGATGACTCAAAAACTATTGGTCTGACCTCGATCAAATTTATATGGGACCACATGTGAAACACCAGCTCTTAGTAATAAGATATAAGCTCTTAATAATAAGATATAGAATAAAAAGACAAGAATAATTGAAATTTAAGTAATCGATGCAAATATTGTTAAAGATGACGTAGCCACTGGTTAAATAAGTCTTTTCTATTATGTTGAAGTCTTTTCTAATAAAAAGATGTCATCTGTGATCAACAGTTACGTCTAAAATTCTTACGATAATTTCTAAAATATTGATATTTGTGAATATTAAAAAAATTTAGTAGATGCGCCTTCTTATCATGAGTCATGGTATATTTAACTCATTTATTCAAAAATTGTTAGATGCGCCCTTTTTTCTTCCGACCGCATACCATTGTTTCGTACCGAGCTAGATACAGGTCGACAGCGGAGGAAGTGTGGGTACAGTCGCGTTCTAAAGTACTACATGGTATTGGGCTATTGTTTTATAATATTATAGTAATTAATTGTTTAATTGTGGAATCATAATAGGTGTTTTACTATTTACTTAGAACTTTGGAAGAGGTGGGAATTAAAAATGGATAATGTTTACTTGAGCATTATTTGTTATTTCTATCGTAAAATATAAAGTAGTTTGTAACAAAAAAAACTTAAGTTAAGGGTGACACGCCGTCCATTATGACGTCTTGGGTCACATGAAAGTCAGATGTTGATGGTGTGTTGGTATTACTGGATGCTACTTCATCATCACTTTCATCTTCGCTTGAGCTTCCGTCATCAGGTCGATCACATGGTAATTTTTTCGGTATTCTCCCTCAACACTTTACTGCACAATTTTCCCCATTCACCTTCTCCTATCATATTTACCTTTTCGTTCACTAGTTTAGTCATAAAACAATAGATATAAATAATTTTTGTTTCCTTCCTTTTTAAAACATCGTCGCGAGTCGCAAAGTAAGCTGTGTATGCGACTGTATTTTTGGAGCGAACAAAGCGCGTGAACCAATAGCATGCAGGCACAGTAATACGGGCGGATTGATCCCCCGTCGCACCCCCCTCGTACCTATATGTGATAAATCGCTCAATGCCCAAGTTCAAGGCCAGCGTTCTTTTTTCACCGTTCGCGCGTACATTAACCTCCATTAGTCAGGTGATATCAATTCAGTTTCCACTGCTGGTTTTATGTTTCAGTATTTTCATGATTTTTTTTATGAAATTATCGATTCATTTAGCTGTACTAACATGATGGCGCGTGAATAAAGCTAATAAAACGTTGTAAAAATATGATTTTTTTTTCATCAGGATCAAATTTATTTGTGACCCATGATCAAAGGTATACTTGGTGCTGTCGCCTGTCTTAGTTTTCGGGAGCGTTCCAAAAATACCCTGTATATATATATATATATATATATATATATATATATATATATATATATATATATATAACAGAAAAGTTACTTAAACTAAGTGTAGTGATAAGTTACATGTAAACACAGTATGCAATATAACAATGGTTTAAGTAGGTTTTATTTTTAAATAAGCTTAATAATTTTAAAATAAAAGAACGTATAATGATTTCTTATATTCGCGCGAACACTACACATTGAACAAAACCATTTTTCACGGATTTTATCGCGTTTAATTTACTATTTTAATTCCCGACGTTTCGGGTGCTTTACAGCAACCCATAGTCACGGGGGGGACTGAGATGTTTGACGTCCCGATGTCACAATTAGCCCGGCTACCTTCAGTTTTTTGGGTAGCCGGGCTAACTGTGACATCGGCACTTCAAATATCTCAGTCTCCCCCGGGAATTAAAATAGTAAATTAAACGCGATAAAATCAGTAAAAAATAATTTTATTCAATAAAAGAACGTAGTTTATCCTTATGGTAAGAGAATATATAAGCTGGTTGCACGAAATTAAGTACAAGCCATACTGTCGACAATCTTTTTACTGAAACTGTAAATGGAATCAAAGTTTACATCAAATATCTGTTTGTACCTAATACCTGTGCTCAATAGCAGCTGACACAGTCTGGGTAATGGATAGCTGGAGCCAAGAACCGTTCTGTGGATTAGTGCTCTCAGTGATGCTCTCGGATAACGCGAATATTTAGAATGTGCGCTCAATTCAAACGCACTCAGTAACTGTGGCAACTAGTTCCATTGTTGAGAATTTTGTATAAAAGCAACAAGTCTGTTAGCTCCCTTGTTTGTACGTTTATCCAAGGATAACCTTTGAGAAATGACTCGTAGCTTTACCAAGTAATCGTGCCAAATGAAACAGAAACTGCTTCTGAATACGCTCAATGCTTGGATTGTGAACCGCAAACTGTTGACGCCAGACAACCGAACAAATACTGAAGTGTGCCACGATCAAGACTATTATGCAGCATTTACTTAGTTTTAATGCTGAATCCTTTGCTATTTTATATGACAAACCCAAGTAGCCTTGAAGATTTTTAACAATGTTTTCGTAATGAGCTGTAAACGTTAGCTCCACCTCTTGAATAATATGCTCATCTATTTTGTAATATAAATGGACTAAGTTTTACTTTTCACATTTTGTAGACGTTGGTGTCATTTGATTATCTCTGGACTAATCAATAAGATTTTCAGATCCCTCGGCAATAATATTGAGTCTTCTATTGAATTTATATGTCTTAAGAATTTTAGGTCATCGTCATACATAAAAATTTAAGAATTTAAAAAAAAACGGATAGGGTCAAGATGTGATTCTTGTGGCACACCTGATGTTATACTAAAATTATTTGATTGAAAGCCGTTGACCACAACGTAAAAAGTTCGATCCTCTAGACATATGATGACAACCGTGTTAAAAAAAAGTACCAGCAAACACATAACTTGCTAGTTTATTGAGCAGGATATCATGGGTAACTTTGGTTAAATTAGTATACAAGACATCGATCTGCTGTTTACGGTCGAAGACTTGGACCATATTCTCAACAAAGCTTGTTGAATTTGTACCTGTAGACCTGAATTCAACATAGTGATGTGGACATACTAATCTCCAATCACTAATCCTAGCTAACTAACTAATACAAGCCTCAAAGATTTTTGCAAAAGCAGACAAAATTGGGATACGTCTATAATTGCTAATCAAACATTCGTTATTAGACTTGTATATCGGTACCACTTTAGCTTCTTTCAACTGTATGGGAAATATAACACAGTGGAGTAACTAACATGAAAGCACACGACAATATGAAACACGATGGAATGGCGTCTGGCTCAGTCCCTTTAGATCAATCAAACTGTTGTAGTTTTCCCAATAGCGTTTTCTCTGTAACCAACGGTGCGAAAACAGTCTAACTGTAATTATTAATAGCATTTAATAAGGGGTGATAATAACATTCATACACGTTGTTACTGCGACGGTTATTATCATTATACGCTAACGAAAAGTACATTCGTTTCCCAACCGCAAGGTCTATAAACTTTAACGCGAGTCTTTGAGCATGCCAGCGTTGTGATCTACAGGAATAATCGAGCAGTCAAGAGCCATCAACGAGAACGGTCACTATAAATGTTGGTATTGCAGAGCCAACACATCTTTTATTTGAAACCAATATATTGTTATTTAGTACGAACGAATATTTCTGAAGAATTTGAAGATCAAACCCTATAGTCCCACCAGAGAAAACCAACGAAAAGCGTACTCGAAGCTAACATTTTATTAAAACTAGTGCACTGGTTTAACATCAACAATTTACTGTTGAAATAAATATATATATATATATATTAAATTTACAAAACCTAATGTTGGTGTTAAACGTGAATAACAGTGTAATGTATGTATTAGGAGAAATTGAGTCTAGTTAAATCTACTGTTTTTGTCGGAATTACAGTTAGCGCATAACTTCTGTGGGGGCCCCCATATATCTAAACTATCAACCATCTTACCTTTGCAGCACATAATGTAAGAAATGTTACAAGTGTGTCTTGTTTTGTGCTAAATCTCTTTCTTTAGTTATTACCATAGATTATCTTAACCATATGACATTGAAACAGTTTTTGTTTTTTTGCATAAAAATACCTTTAAGAGTATCCTCTTATAAAATAAATTAAGAGTCGTCTTTTGGAGAAAACACTAAGAAAATAAATTAATAACCCCCTGGGTTTCTTGCTGCTCTTTCCTAGGGCAGAAGCTTTTTTCCGTAACGGTTTTAAACTCTTAACGTTAATGACTTTCAATGTATTACTTGTAATGTGTGATAGTTTTGCCGAGTAAATTCCGAGTTTAACTTACAGGGTGCAAATATAGTTCCATTGCCGGTAACATGACGAAGTACGTCCATCATTTTACTCTTCTCCAAGCAAGTCTTTAAGATTATCTCGGCAACGGTGGCATCTGATACAACTGAAAGTAAATATTTCTTATTAGATATTGGGTCAGATTATAGATAAATTTGGTCAAACGCATGACCATTTTGTAGAACCTGCACCGGCACTATTAACACTTTTTACGAAAGTACTTAAGTACCTTCATAAAAGAGCACACTCCTTTTTAAAATGCCGCCAAAGCACTTGCGCCAGTCTTACTTCACCGGTCTTAAAAATAGATTTTTTTTTCTTAGAAGTATAATATGGTAGGTCTCTTAATTATTGAAAATATTGTACAAAACTATATGTAATATGTATGTATAGTATACACCCCATTTCTATTTGTAGACGTCGTAATATATACGGTATCTATTTTACGCCAGATGGCGGATTGATATCCGCAAAGATGACAGCATTAAGGCACATACTCCCTGCAATGACAGAGGCTCACGTCTAGCAGGAAATATTATTGTGATGTCCAGCAGTGGTATATTATTACTTTGATGATGATGACCAGTTATTTAAAATCTTAAGCTAGTTCTTGCTGATAATCTGATAACCAAACTAACCTATGTTGAAATCACGGCCAATCCATAGACCTGTTGTGCCTCCATTTAATGTCGCTTCGTTTCCGAAAGCTGCCAATGAGCTCATACGTTCTGAAACAATTAATATTATGTAGTAAAATAAAGGTAACATGTAACATTCATTTTACGTAAAGAATAATTATGTTACAATTTGAGCTGCTTTTTTAATCGTCATATAAAAGTTATTCATAGGGTAAAATACAACAAAAACAAATTAAAATTTTACAATACTTCAAATAAAACAGTTCAATAACTTCACTTTTATATTTAGGCAGGTTATAGTATATCGATGGATAACTTTTATCTGACGCATGCCAAATCGGCCCCTTAGATATATACAGTTAGACATAGCTAAGCATCGATGTTAGTCAAAAAAAACGCAATCTCGGACGTAACCAGTGTGCAACCGCTTCAGTAAAGGTAATAAATTCATCAGTGATAGAATATTGCCTTTAGATCGATCAAGTCTTTATTTGCGAATAAAGGTATTTACAAAGGGGTTTTATAATATTATATATTAACTTCTTCTGTATTAAGCCATATCGGGCATGTAAAATAATATACATTAAATTAAAAATTACATACATATAAATACATTATTACACCTAACATTGTGTACATCTAACAGCCGGATCGAACTGGGGAAATACCACGACCTCAAAGAATACCAGCATATAGTAGAAGCTTTGCTTGCCACGCGTATTCTGCAAAATCCTACTACTGACATTGCACAGGGCAAAAAGACCGATAAAACCATGGCGACCCCTGCCACGCTAGCCGTGGAACTCTCCAACATCAGGGAACTTCACTCGAACCTTAACGCCGTCCACTACCATCTGTAAACATTGACGTGCAACTTTAAAAGGCGCAATTTCGGTCTCACATGGAAGACTGTACCCAGCCATAGGTGACACTGTGTCCCGGCCCATAGGCCGGAGCACCCTAGTGCCAGCTCTTCCAGAGCGGCTGGAATCGTCGACGACCGAGTTCTTTCTGATCGGCTTGATTCCCTGGCGCTGCCAAGAATTGTTACATCTCTTTGCATTTCTATTGCACTACGAGGTGTGCTCTGAGGAATTGTTGAGAGTAATCCCAATCGCCAATTTCACCAATGCCCTTCGTGTCAAAACTCACGATACTATCTACACCATCTGGATGCATGGCGATCTACCATCACTGTGCGTTTTACTATGAGTTTTCTTCCTCGCACAACTTCCTTGGGGAATTGTTTAACATCGGCGATTTTTCCGGACCGATACGACTGAGAGACCTTCAAGAAAATAGCCTACTCTTTTTTAAAAGGCTTTCAACGCATCTGCAATTCCTCTGATGTTGCAGTTGTTCATGGACATTATATTTTATTAGTTTGTTTTGATTTTTGTTTGATCCGTCATAAATTCTGATATGCTATAACTATAATAAGCCTTTTCCATTAGTATCTTTTTCATTTTGCTATGAAATATGTTGAAAGTCTCTAAATTTTTAAATTATGATGGTATTTTGTTATATAGAATTTGAGTGCCCAAAATACACTCGTAAACCGTGTTTTTTGTATTCTTTATTAGGCCAACGACTAGAAGTAGGTTTAGAGTAAAGAAGTGAAGTATATCATTTCAGATAAAACCGTATTTTATACCGTTCAGATTGACACGTTTTACGATATTTCTTTTTTTTTATAAAAGCGAGATGACAACCGTCCACCTTACGTTAAGTGCTATACACAGACAACTGCAACCATCTATACAATAAAATAAAATTGAAGTGTCTGTTTGTAATATCAAAATTACAGTTTTTTACTAAATGCATATGAAAGTAAATACGGTACTTATATCATCATCATCATTACAGCCCTTCACAAGTCCACTGCTGAACATAGGCCTCCCCCAAAGAATGCCACAAAGCACGGTCCTGAGCCACCTGCATCCATCGACTTCCTGCATATCTTACCAGGTCGTCACTCCATCTAGTGGGGGGACGCCCTACACTTCGCCTGCCGGTACGAGGCTGCCACTCGAGAACCTTTCTTCCCCATCGGTTGTCGGTTCTTCGAGCTATATGGCCGGCCCACTGCCACTTCAGCTTACTAATTCGTTGGGCTATGTCGGTTATTCTGGTTCTACTGCGGATATCCTCATTTCTGAGTTTATCACGCAGAGAAACTCCGAGCATAGCCCTCTCCATAGCTCGCTGAGCGACCTTGAGCTTCCTCATCCGGCCAGCAGTGAAGGACCACGTCTCAGTTCCGTATGTCATCACTGGCAACACGCACTGGGTGTACAGTCTCGTTTTCAAGTTTTGAGGTATACCTGACGAGAAGATGTGCCGTAATTTCCCGAACGCTGCCCAACCGAGTTGAATCCGTCGATTGACCTCTCGGTCGAAGTTGGACTTACCTAGTCGGACTATTTGTCCCAGGTAAACATACTCGTCAACAACTTCGAGCTTAGTGTTCCCAACAACTGCCGGCATAGGTGTGACATGGATATTAAACATGATCTTTGTTTTGTCCATGTTCATCTTAAGACCTATCCGTTGGGAAACACTATTGAGGTCATTGAGCATAGTGCTTAGGTCCTCCAGCGATTCCGCCATAAGGACTATATCGTCGGCAAATCGAAGGTGAGTGATGTACTCGCCATTGATGTTGATACCGTATCCTTTCCAGTCCAGAAGCTTGAAAACATCTTCCAATGCAGCGGTAAAGAGTTTCGGGGGTATGACGTCACCCTGTCTTACACCTCTCTGCAATTGGATAGGTTTCGTACTCTGGTTCTGTACTCGGATAGCCATTGTAGCCCTACTGTACAAGCACTTCAACACTTCGATATACCGACAGTCAACTTGGCATCGCTGAAGGGACTGCAGCACCGCCCAAATTTCGACGGAATCAAAGGCTTTTTCATAGTCCACATACGCCAGACATAGTGGCAAATTGTACTCCTCGGACTTCTGTACAATTTGCCGAAGGGTATGTATGTGGTCTATGGTGCTAAAGCCCTTTCGGAAACCGGCTTGTTCGGGAGGCTGGAAGTCGTCAAGTCTGCGCGCGAGACGATTCGTAATGACTCTCGAAAACAGCACGTAGACGCGGCTCAGAAGGGAAATCGGTCTGTAGTTCTTCAAGAGAGCGTTGTCGCCTTTCTTGAAGAACAAGACTACCGCACTTCTGCTCCACGCCTCCGGTGTAATGCCACCATGGAGGACGGAATTAAAGAGCTTCTGAAGGACTTCAAGTACCGGTTTTCCACCCGCTTTCAGAAGCTCCGCCGTAATTCCATCCTCGCCTGGGGCCTTGCCGTTTTTAAGGTGCTGGAGAGCCATTCTAATCTCGCTCAGACTGACGTCCGGGATATCATCGGAATAATGTCGGATAAGACTCGCTCTTGGATCGTTACTCACACTTGCGTGCGGCTCCAACGATGACGTGTACAGCTGCCCATAGAACCTCTCAATCTCACTCAAAATCTCAGGTGCCCCGGAAACGATGCTGCCACATTCTGTCTTCAGCTTTGACAGTTGGCGCTTTCTGGCAGACAGATCTCTGGCAAAGACTTTGGAGCCTTGGTTCCGCTCGATCGCTTCTTCAATACGAGCTGTATTGAATTTGCGTAAGTCCCGCCGCATGCATTTGGAGATCTGTCTGTTCAGTTGCCTGTATGCTGTCAAATCTGTTGAAGAATGTAGCTTCATCTCCCGTCTAACAGCCATGAGATTAAAAGTGTGATCGGAGAGTTTTTGTGTTCTTCTGCGGCGGGTCTTGCAGAACTTAGCTCCGACCGCATGGACAGTTTCCACGAGCTTGTCATTCAAATCGTCCACTTCATTGCAGTCTTCTAGGCACTGAAAACGTTTTTCTAACTCGAGCTGAAAGGTTTCGGGACTTTGGATTAGAGCACGAGGGGGACGGAGCGTTGACTTCATTAGACTGGACCTCTCCAACTTAACGTTTAGGTTCAGTGTGCCTCTAACCATTCTGTGATCGCTGCCGGTTTTCACCCTCGCGATCACTGAGACATCACTGAACAGTTGTCGTCTGGTCGTCATAATGAAGTCAATCTCATTTTTTGTCGAACCGTCGGGGCTCGACCAGGTCCACTTCCTGTGGGGCCGCTTCTGGAAGAAAGAGTTCATCATAAAGAGTCCCTCTTTCTCCATGAAGTCAGCCAACTGCTGGCCCCTTGGGTTCCGTTGCCCTATTCCAAATTTCCCTACTTTCAGCTCACCGTTCTCTCTTGTGCCTAGTTTTGCATTGAAGTCTCCCATTAACACCGTATATTGGGTTTTGGAGGAATGCATGGCTCTAGAGATATCCTCATACATTTCCTCCACCTCCTGATCGGGGTGTGCCGAGGTTGGTGCGTAAACCTGTACGACCTTCAGCGAATACCGTTTGGTGATTCTGAGTATAAGGTACGCAACCCTCGTCGACACACTCTCAATGTTTACAACGTTGTTAACGAGAGACTTGTGGACGATAAATCCGACACCTCCTCGGGACAGATGGTCGCCCTCCCGGTAATAGAGCAAGTTGCCGGATTCGAGGATTACCGTGTCCTCCCCCTCTCTTCGGACTTCGGATAATCCTATAATATGCCAGCGTAACTTGTCTATCTCTTCTTCCAGCTCCACAATCTTCTCGTCGGAATTAATTTAAGAAGAAGATTTAAAATAATTATTTTAAATCTAAACTTTTAATAAAAAGTTAAAACTGACTTCAGATTGCAAAAGGAAGTTATTTATTTGTGGTGTGGAATTTTTTCGTCAAATTTATATGGGACCATTTTTGTAGTATAACTTATTTAATTAAAAAAATAATCATAAAAATCGGTTCTTAATCTTGCGAACATATCACATGAAATTCCTTAATCGATATTCCAATATGAACATTTTTCCTATTTTCCACCCTTGGGAGCTGAATTGTTTCTTCAAAATTTAATAGGACTACCCTTGAGGCCTATTTAATAAAAAAAGAATTCACGGTTCAACGGTTCACTATCTGCGAAGATATCGCTTAACATACATACAAAAAAAAACATACACCCTAATTTTTGATTACAAAAACAGTGTGTGTGTACTTACATATGTACGCACGTAGGAAGTTATACTTCGTTAGCGTAACAAAACAAAAAAACTTGAGAGACAATTACCCACTGAAGTTGTCGTTTTATGGTGTCAGTGTGCGCGCACATCGTAACAACTTCATGGTGTTGTTTTTAGGTTTCGGTGAAATTTCAAGCTCATCATTTTTCCCAAACGCCCCAAAAGAAGTATAACTTCAAAATAATCTTAATTTTACTGATACAATATAGCCTAGATCTCTCTCGACATTGCTCTCTATCTGTCCGGACAGTTTCATAACAATCATTTCAGCTATTCCGAAGATTGGCCAGGACAGACAGACAGATAGATAAAATTTTTAAAATGTTTATTTATTTAATAATAGCTATGAAACCCCCTAAGCATAATAGAAGCAAATTATTTCAATATTACAAACAGACACTTCAATCCTATTTATAAGCATAGATAATAATAAAAATATTAATTATATAATGATTAATATATAATTTATTCTATACATATAACATATTTTTGTGTTCTTATATTTGTACTGTATTTTAAAAATAATCCTAAAATGATCCAACTAGATATAGAATCTAAAGCCGACTTGAAATCCTTGAACCAAGAGTTTGTCGTAATGAACCAACGAAAAGTGTTTTATGCCATTAATTAAATAATAACAGACTATAAAATACTTAGCAACACGCGTTAATTATGAACTGTCGTATATCTGTAGGATCCTAGTAAGGCTTTTTTTATATACCTACCTACATTTTATTCTAAATAATTACCTAGTAAGGTCATAAGTATTGTCAAACAGTAAAAACGTTTCTTTTGGAATGCTGGTCACAAAAATGTTTATTGAATTCGAATTTCGAATTGTTCATGAAAATAAAACTGTATACTTTTTAGAATTTTACTCAATTTTAAATATGGAGTGGACGCTTAAAGAAGACCGTGTTGCAGTTATTGCGTTGCATCGTTGCGGTTACGCGCCAATTCAAATTTTTGACATACTGAAAAATGGGAATATAACCAAAAGATTCGTTTATCGTACCATCAAACGATACAATGAAGACTCTAGTGTAGATGACAGGTCAAGAAGTGGTCGCCCTCGGTCTGTTAGGACTCCAGCAGTGATAAAAGCTGTGAAGGCGCGAATTCAAAGAAATCCCAAACGTAAGCAGAAACTGTTGGCCCTTCAGATGAGGTTAAGCAGAACCACGGTGAAAAGGGTGATAAATGAAGACTTAGGGCTTCGGGCATATAGAAGAAAAACAGGACATCGTTAAAATGCTCGTCTAATGGACCTGCAGAAGATGCCGCGCGTTGTTGAAGCGGTACGCGGGAAAAAATATCGGGAAATTCTTTTTTCGGATGAAAAAATTTTTACCGTAGAAGAGAGCTACAACAAACAAAATGATATGGTGTACGCACACAGTAGTGAAGAAGCGAGCAACCGTATTCCACGTGTCCAACGAGGTCATTTTCCATCCTCGCTCATGGTATGGTTGGGAGTTTCTTTATGGTGGCTTAATAGAGATACATTTTTGTGAGAAAATGAATCAAAGAATTAAAAAGAGTAAAGTAACTGCCATATAACAGGTTAGAGTGTACATAATCATAGCTTGCGTTTGTATGCTCTAAGTATAACATGTTTAAAATAATTTAAAATTAAAAATTTTGTACAACCGACTTCAATATAAATTATTAAGAATAACTCAAAAACTATTGGTAACACCTTGATCAAATTTATATGGAACCACATGTGAAACACCAGCTTTCAAATAAAAAAAGAATCATCCAAATCAGTTCACCCAGTAAAAATTTATTAGGTTACACACATAAAAAACATACAGTCGAATTAAGTACCGTCTCCTTTTTGAAATTGGTAGAAAATTTGCTAAGACATAGTGGATTTTAATAAAGGGATAATTTTTGAATGATACATCATTCGTTTGCTTAGACGTTTATTTCCCGACTGCCCACCAACTTACACTAGCTGTCCCTTGCGACTTCGCCCGCGTGGAATTTACTACAATTTTTTTACAACTTTTTCTAAAATAAGAGTATCCTAAATTACTCCTTGTAATATCAACTATCTGCCAGTGAAAGTCCCGTCAAAATCGGTCCAGCCGTTTCGGAGATTGGCCGGAACAAACAGACAGACAGACAGACAAACGAACAGACAGACAAAAATTTTAAAAAATGTTTTTTTGTTATAAGTACCGTATACACTTTCATATGCATTTAGTAAAATGCTGTTATTTTAACATTACAAACAGACACTTCAATTTAAAAAAATTAAAATTTTGTACATTCGACTTCAATATAAATTATTAAGTATAACTATTGGTCTGACCTTGATCAAATTCATATGGTACTATATGTGAAGTACCAGCTTTCAAATAAAAAAAGAATCATCGAAATCGGTTCACCAAGTAAAAAGTCACGAGGTAACACATAAAAAAACATACAGTCAAATTGAGTACCGTCCCTTTTTGAAGTGCGCAGAAAAAGATTATCAAAATTGGTTAACAATTGGCAAAGAAAGATATCACGTAACATTCTTACAAAAAAACATACAGTTGAATTGTAAGCTTCCTCCTTATTTCAAGTTGGCTAAAGAATCGCACATCATCGACTCCACCTATAAGTCAGTTAAAAAAATCTGCATCTCACCTGTATCACCACCTATTAACAAATAAGCATGGCCGACAATCGGGAAAGCTTTATACTTATTTGTTAACTGCCGAGACAGTTTCAATATCCTTCTGGATTTCCACTGATCGTAAATAATCCATAACGCGAAACATATAGCCAGTAATATATAAAACATTTTGAAAATAATAGTTTCACTATTTTAAACTTTTGCTTATAGTTTATAAATTCACTCTTCAGCTCCAACAAATGTTCACCGCATGAATTACAATAACACACAAAGTTGTGCGCCAAGCTGTTGTCCGGTTTTATAGTTGCTGTTGTTGCTTAATCTAAGAGTCTGTCATAAGACGCATTTTTGTATAGTCACCAATTAACATAAGCTATTGTCGTTTTTTTAAATTTTTTTAGTCTTTAACAGACGTTTATTACGTGAGACCGATATTGTGAACTTGGAACTCCCTTGGCCCTACTTATACATGCATAGTTAGTTGTACGGCTTATCTATGATCAGTATATCCTTGATTTAAGAAATCCAATTTTTTAGTACCAAAAACTCTCATGTATAACAGTGGTAATTGACCTGTATTTTGACTGGTAGGGTCACAATGCAACTGTTTTATGGTTGCAGAGCCAAGTTGTAGGGCCATGTTAAACGTGGTGGAGCCATACTGCAGCTATATCAGTAGTATAGTTGTAGCACGAATGGGTCGGCTCGACCGAGGAAGGATCACGCTCTCACAAAATACCAGCTTAAAATAGCAGCTTAACACTGCTGCGTTTCGTATGGTGAGTGTACAGAACCGGAGAACCTTTTTACAGTAAATGAGGCATTCAATCTTTATCCTCACGGGTAAACAACGCATCTGTATTTTGATTTATAATAGAGGATAGATGTAGATGTCTATGTCTAACGACTTACCATCAGGTGGATTATGTGCTCGTTTGTCACCCTTATCCCATAAAAAAAAGAATACGAATGGATCGTCTTGATTGAGGATGAACCACGGTTGTACAGAATACCAAGGTAAATAAGTAAAAATTTAAATTAAGTTTTAAAAATGTATGTGAAAAAATTCAGTTACAGCCCCTATAAGTCTCATAGTTGGACACAGGCCTCTCACTTCTTAAAGGATTATAGGACAATTAGTCCTCGGCGTGGGTTCAGTGTGTGTTACCGTTACCATTACAGCCTAATATAGTTCGCTGCTGAACATAGGCCTCCTCCATAGATTGCTTCATAGGGAGAATATTTTCCATAGTTGCCACGCTTGGCAAGCGTGTTGTATATAATCAGGAAGTTATTAGGAAGTCCAGCAGTGTCTCCTAATAACGACTAATAATCCCATCTACTGATTTTTTCCCTGTGTCGCCTCTTACGAAACCCACGGGATGATATGGGGTAACACTGCGACTACACGGTTTTTTTATACAAGATATATAATTTATATTTTGTTGTGTATTTTTTAAAGTGTAAGAACATTACAGTATACAGAATACGGAGTATGTGCTTCTGGACATGCGGCTTTCCTTACAATTTGATCTACACTAGCGAGCTTGTTGTAACTCAGCACATAAAAACGCAATTAACATTAACAATGGTGCTGGCGATAATCGAATCCGGTTTTTTGTAGTAAATTACTTACAAGCACTTATTTCCAGAGTAAAACACTGTACAGAGGTAAATAACAGGTTACAAAATTTTTCTATGTTTCGTACGATTAGTGATAAGACATGTAGACGTGATGACAACGCATCTTCATTTTGATTCTAAATAACAGTGATAAGTAAGCCAAAAAGAAGAAGAGATAGTGCACGTGTTAATGACTTACATGCTAGTCTCAAATAATTTTAAAGTTTAAAAGAAGTTAATGCATTGGTCATGAGTTGTGATGAATCTAGTGAGATTACTAGTTTATGTGTAGTCATTGATACTTTTGCGAAATTTCAGATTTTTCAGACTTCTAGGAGTGGGTAAAAATGAATTATAAATTTTTATTCATACATACATACAGGTCTAGCTTATTTATGTCTAGGTTAAATCATGGCATAAACGTCCTTTCTCTGAATAATTCAGCACAACACAATTGGCCTTAACATTTTTACAATATTAGTACAGCATTGTGCTCACCCTTGCAAATTATCGACAATGGTCAAAAAATCAACAACTTTAAATGGGAAGAATTAATAACACATGTACTGAACATATATAGATAAAATTGAAGTATATGTCTGTAACATTGAAATAGTTGGCTTTTATTAGCTCAAGGGGTTATTGTCATGATATTAAGTATAAAGAACCATTTTAATAATTTTTGTCTGCTTATCTGTCTGTCCGGACTAGTCTTCAGAATGGCTGAACCGATTTTGATGAAACTTTCTAGGTTATATTTTATCCGAAAAAATTAATTTTTCTTTTTTGTAATAACCTAAAGTTTATAACATCTTTAATTTAATTAAAGCTACTAGATCCCATCCAGGCGAACGGTCAGAGCGGATCGCTACACATCGTGTACATGCAAACCCAATATAAGCTTTAACCTATATTTTTCCAACGTAACTTTTGCGTTAAATCGAAGGTAGGCTATGCCACCAGTCCCAGAAACCAAAGATTGACGTTTTTGACATTGCTCCGTCTAGAATTCAAGCTCAGGACTCACGGTGTATTTGCCACTCCACAAATGGGCTATTTGGCCGTCTATGAGTAACTTCTACGAATAATAGCTTATTTATAAATATATTCCCGTATTTATCTGTGAAAACATCAACAGTATCTTATAAAAATAACTTAGTAGTCGTAATCTCTCACAGACCTCTTCCCATAACTAAGATAGTTTTAGACGCGAAACAGAAATAGATATATAGAAACTTTATAATCAATATCTCTATACATAAAAATGAATTTATAACAGACTTTACGTGGTCTATATCTATTTTGATCCTCAAACAGCTTTCCAGTTTTCTTATGCGCTGACCACATTTTACGTTTTAAATACAATTAGCGCTCAACTTACTTTTAAAAACAACGTGTGGGCGGGGATTAACCGTGTTGTGGCGGTGTAAAGATATTCACTATCCAATACCGTCCCATTGGTATTGAAAGAGGCGACAGAAGGAAACTAAAACAGGAGATGGGCAGCAGCATCTTCTCGATAACAACTAAAAACTACAAAAAACCGAGGTTGCCAACCAAATTCACAATTAATTTTTCTGACTATTCTTTATCATAAGTTCTATTAATTTACTTCTGTTTAAAGAATAGAAATATAATTGAATATAACTTCGAAAATTTATTACGTACATACGTATGTACGTAATAAATTTTTTTTCGTAATAAAATTGACCGAGAGGTCAATCGACGGATTCAACTCGGCTGGGCAGCGTACGGGAAACTACAACACATCTTCTCGTCAGACATTCCTCAAAACCTTAAAACGAAATTGTACAACCAGTGCGTGTTGCCAGTGATGACTTACAGATATGAGAAGTGGTCCTTCACTTCCTTCACGGCCAGCGTATGAGGAAGCTCAAGGTCGCTCAGCGAGCTATGGAGAGGGTTATGCTCGGAGTTTCTCTGCGTGATAAACTTAGAAATAAGGATATCCGCAGTAGAACTAGAGTGACTGACATAGCCCAACGGATTAGTAAGCTGAAGTGGCAGTGGGCCGGCCATATAGCTCGAAGAACCGACAACCGATGGGGAAGAAAGGTTCTCGAGTGGCACCCTGGTACCGGTAGGCGAAGTGTAGGGCGACCCTCAACGAGATGGAGTGACGACCTGGTAAGACATGCAGGAAGTCCATGGATGCAGGTCGCTCAGGACCATGCATTGTGGCATTTCTTGGGGTAGGCCTATGTTCAGCAGTGAACTTATGAAAGGTTGTAATAATGATGATGATACATATGTATACATATATATTTATAACGTAGACATATACTAAGAAAGGATTTAGGAAAATACGACCCGTTAACATTACAGCCTATTAAAATCCACAAATTTACAAAGTACTTTCAGTAAGTTTTGAGTCAATCGCCCCTAAATTAAAAAAAAAGTTTCAAACACACCGTAACACCCTATTTCACCTTCTTAAGGTTTGAATTTTCTTAAATCCCTTCTTAGAGGATTCCTACGTCATAAAAATGGCTATCGTCTAAATTAAAGATATCTACATCAAGCGGTTTAGGCTGTGCGTTGATAGATGAGTCAACCATTGAGGACATCTTTTATATATATAGAGAGAGGTACGGTAAATGTGACAAAATCTATTGAAAATACGAGAGAAACGTGAAGTTCTAAATAAGACGATTTTCACGGTATTGTTTTAGGTCACATGTTTATGTCGTCTTCTTGTTCACGACAGTAATCATAGATCATTATCATGGATAAATTGTCATTAAACTTAGATTTAAGAAGTACACGTGTTTTTTTTATATATTTTTTTTGTAAATAACGAATAATTTGTACTTCATTATCGCCATTACTGTCGTCATTGTCATGATACTGACGAGTAATTTGATCTATGTTATAAAAACACAACGAAATTTTGTAATGCTTAGTAAATCTTCAGCACTATTAGCAACCTCTACAATATAGGTACAGTGTGCATAGGTTGTACTTACTTTATAATATTTTTTGAAATTTCAAACCATGGTATCCACCATTCAATTAATTTATAATCAACTATCAGTTTAGTATGATCATTATCATCCTTGATGTTCATCACAAGTCCTGCTGGTGCGTTTAACAAAGGTCTCCCCGAAATATTGTAACAAATCACAGTCCTGAATAATTTGTATCCATGGCTTCCTGCACGTCTTAACAGTTTGGTATTCTAATTTGTTGTGGCTCGCTACTCTAATCGCCACGCAACAAGCGTTGGAAGGCTTGAGTACCTATCTTATCTATTGCCGTTATACCATATTAATACACCACAGTTGACCAAAGCATTCCATATAAAATGCTAGGGGCAACCGCGGTTTTTTAGTTTATAGTTGTTATTAGAAGACGTTTTTCTTTTATTTTTCATAACTTTTCCACCTTATGTTAAATGTACCTACGGTTTACTGACACTACTTCGAATCTTGGCCACAGCGCTAAGGCCATCTAGTTGCTCATTGTAATAATACTAACCTGCACATAATCATAAATTGAGAACTTTACTGTATTTTTTAATAATT